GGTGAAAATTTCTTTGGAATCAATTGGAATCTGTAATTAGGAATCAGAGGGCTCTGCCGGAAGTAATTGACTCGCTAATTACCTCAAAATTGCGCTTGGAAATATAATCATTTTGGATCGTTCGGGTGCGCCGTTTAGCCGGCGTCCACACGTGCGAGGGGAATCGATAGTTTGAATTTTAAGTGCACAGTGTGCATGAGACACTGCATTATTGAATGCTGAGCATGTTAATGGTGATTCAGAGAGGACTTTTCGTCGTTTTGGGGGTGGATGGAAGTATTGCGGGGGTGAAGTCCGAAATTTCTGATTTTTTGTGACGGGATAAGTAATTTTTGCCTCAGGAGTTCAAATATGGATTTCAAAATATTCTTCCCAATGTCGTGTTGGGCGAGTTCGATCATGACATTGATTGCCTCAGCTGTTGTTGAAAAAATTCATTTTGAAAACGTCAACGTTGGGGCAATGTTGCCTGCCAACATTGGGACAATACTGAATATTGTTTTCAAAATTTATGGGAAACGTAAAAAAGAAAATGTCGGCGCGATGTTGGCGGCCAACGTTGCAGCGCCGTTAAACTCCGCAAATCATTAAATTCAATTTAAAATACATCGCCACAGAAATTCCATTTATTACGACAAAAGCAATTTTCCACTTGTTTGTAATTAGCCGCGATGAGCGGGTTCTTCCGCGTGGAGATTATTTTTTGCGCCCCAGTGAGATGAAAAGAACAACTGACCATTGCTCATAGCGGATGTCCTCCATCATCAATTTCAATCAATTGATTTCGGTAAACAATAACGCCGGTGATTATGATAACGCGAGTCTCGTGATAATGCGTCTGCGCTGTGAATTTTCGCGGGGTTGACTTGTGGCCCGAGTGATAGCGAGTTCTCAGTCGAGTCGAGAATCCGCTGGCTCACGGGACCTGTCCCTCAACCGAAATATCGTCCCGCGAAAATCCCCTCGTTATGTCTCTCTCGATTTTCACTCGCGTCTAACTCCCGCTGATGTCATCAACACCCCGGGATGAGAGCGTCAGTCAGAATTAATACTTTGTTGTCGGTATTTTTTTCGAACGGGCTTTTTTATTTTTCACGAGGACTTGGACCCGAATATTCATAGAGAGGTAACTCGTGGACGGGAGTTTCAGGGATTCATGATTTTGTAACAATTTGTTTTCTGCTGTTATTCAACGTTGAATGATTGATGATGATTCCGAGTGATGACGGGGCGAGATGAGGGCTTGAATATTTTATGCGAATGCTGAAACGGGAACACGAGTTTCGAGTATTTCTGAGTGTCTTCTGTTGTTTTTGGTTGTGTTGACTAGCTTCATCAATTGAATGATTATTCAGCCGTTGGAGACAAGCAATTGAAAACTGAACGACATGCTGATTAGTAGCGCCGTTAATTCTAGTCTGGGTAAGTGTTAAATATTCAGGGAATTTTTTTACAGTAATGTTGCGGGGGAAAGCGGTAGATGTTGCAAAATCGGAGGGATCACGACACTGGGAGGATTTTTTTTTATTTAAGCGATAGATGCAGGTTGAATTTTCAATGCTGGGAATTTTTAATTCGAGTTAAGATCAAAGAGTTTGGGAAGTTGAAAATTTGGGGTTTTTGTGGTTGATGATTATTGATATTTGAACGTCATCTAGAATCCTCAAACTCATTCTGAAAATTAACCATCAAACTCAATTGAATTTTTAATGAATTAAAAATTCAGAAAGTCTGAATTTACAAAATGTTTAACAATTTTCATTGTCATCTGCACCTGAAAATTGAGATGCCATTGAATACTCCAGACTTTACCCGATTTTTCAAAAACAAAATGGACCATTATTGAAAACTTCATGATTTTTTACATTTCCGGAGTAATTTTCTAATAATACAGTTCAATTTAAAAAATTATCCTCTATAGATTACCGAAAAAAATTCTAAATAACCTAATTTACTGCATTCAATCCTCATATATTGTTGATGAAGACAACAATAACTGTTCGAATGAAACAAATTATTTATTAATCAATCGTTTGACCCAAATAAGAGATAACTTCACAAAATTTCCATTTTTTTAAATTGAATATCGCAGAAGCTATGAACTATAAAATTAAAAAAAAAAATACTGTATTCAGAATTCATCGTAAGAGTATTTTGTATCAACGAATGCCCATTCTCCTCCCACTCCATTCCGATAAATCATCGAAACCCATTGTTTCCCCCGAATTATCGAAACAGAAATTTTTCGGACCCGTCAATTCCTCTGACTACGGCCCCTTGATCTCTCACTGTTTACCCTCGTCCACATGCTCCTGCTGGCCACGTACTCCGGTAATAAAGCCAGATGATGGATCGGACCCGGCCAGTTGTGGGGATTTAACTCAAAATCCATTTCAAGGAATTGGTCCATTTATGGCGTATTAACAGTCCCCAACTTGAAATTACGTGTGACATCTCAGTTTAATTTATACATCCAATGGGTTACTCGTCGTGAATACTCCATTTTAGAAATACACGACCCACTAAATATCTCCCGAGCGTACGTTTACGAGTGCCAACACTCGGAGCATTGGAGCTGTTCCAACTCTTCTGCACTGGAAAACGAAACGTCGTCATTTGTGCGGTTTCCCTCCTCCGTTTTTTATTATTATTATTTATTTTACCCCGCCAGTTATGTATTTCTTCTGCGCTTGTGTACACACTTCTGATACGAAATATTAAACAATGGGGGTTAAAATTCCCGGGGACACGTGCATACATCTCGTTTCTCCGCACGGAGAGAAATTCAACAAAAATTACCAGAAAAAAACGTGAAAATTACGTTTTGAAACGTAATCCATGAGCGAAGGAAAATTCAATAAAAAGTGTGAGTCGGAACTGAAGTTGTAGGAATCGCCACGTAAATTCTACGATTTGTTCCGAAAAAATTAACCAGCCTGTGGGGACAACAAGTCGTTCCGTAATTTTTCCCCAACGACTGAGAAATTTTACGGAACGGAACGTAGAAATAACTCACCAGCTTCACAAAAATTGTTGAACGTTCAAGAATATTTGATTTTGGAGGCACAACAAGTCGGCGTTTCTGTAAGATTTGACTTCTTCGGGAAAAATTACGTGAAAATTCACTGAACGTTTCAGATTTCGTCTCTTATTTCATTCCTACAAAAATTCCCAGACAACGACTCCCCATCGCGGATTACGTGAATTGTTCTGTAATTTTTACTGAATATATTTCTCTCCGTGCGTGTTTTCGGAAATTCGGGGGAAAAACATTTCAGTCGTAGATTAGGAATTTTATTAGCAATGAAAATGCTGGAGGCGGTGAGATACAGCCCCGCCGTCACAACGAGGTATCACGAGTTATTTTGTTGTGTCACGAATGTGTCAAGGAAACCACCGAGGGGTGAGGCGCGCCGAGAGAGAGAGAGAGAGAGAGAGAGAGAGAGAGAGAGAGAGGGCGAGGGCAAACGGCGTGGTACATCCCTAAATAATTTTCATGCCGGACTGGGGGGGAAGGGCCGAGGGTATTTGGGTATATCGTGCGCCCAGAGGAGATTCACCAGTTAATTTAGTTGCCTCTGTGTTTCCTCGGGGCATCGTTGCTTCGTGTCGTTGATGGCCTGAGAAACCCTTGCGGGCCATTTTCTCGTGTTGGAAAAAAGAACTGGCATTGTTGGGGAACGAAATGTTTATCCCTGGGTGTTTGTTGGTTCTTTCGGGCCCGGAACTTCTTCACACGTTTTATTTAACCTCGTGGGCTTTTTCCGGATTCTCGGAGGGGCAGGGGGCGGCCGGAAGGGGAGGGGGAGCGAGGGTAATGAGGTCGTTGGGAAAGTTGAGGGGAGTTTGACGGAGGATTCGAGATTTCTGGAGGTTTTTTGAACGGAGGAGGCAGTTGGGGGCTACGCGGAGAGAATTTTTCGGTGAAAATTATACTACCGTTCTGTGAAAGTGTATCGTGAATCGTTTCCTCATTTCTGTCCTGAACTTTTGGAAAAATTAATACATGATCAAATTTATTCTGCGTTAGGGAAATTTTATCAAATTCAAATTTTAATTTTAAATTTTACCACTTGACAGGGCTTGCTACAACCCGACCTGATACAAAATAATCATCTTCGAATTGAAATACTATTCGCTCCGTAAAAAAAATACATCCCCTGTTGAACAAATGACTCAAAAAATTACAGAACTAGAATTTTCCGAAATTTCACCACCAAAGTTCCCCGACTTTCCGCCCGCTCTGCATTACTTTAACGAGTAAATTTATTCGTAAATTTACATTTTAACGTTTAAAGTTTTTCAAGGGTTCGATAAAATCAGAGACGCCGGCCAACATTGTTCCCGAGCCGGAGTTGTTTAGCAAAAAAAGAGGTCCTTTCACACTCTGAATGTTGTTGCCATTGGGTAAAAGGGGGCGAGAGAGGATGGACCGTGGGAGACGCTCAGCTGTGCTCAACACACCTGAGGCATTAACATTTTATGGATATATCTTATCGAGAGTTCATACACGCGGTTTACGGAGAAATCTCCAACCGCCTCTCGCCGGTGAGCCGCTGCTCCCCCCCCCC